GCAACACCTGTTTGCCATCCCCTGAGGGGTTTTCTGGAGCTTAGAGAACTCCATGTGCCCATATTGAGCTTGCACCAAGAAGCTACCCTTTGCTGCTGTGAGGGTCAGGGATGGTTTTTGCTGGGTAGGTGAAAGCCATCAGGAAAGGGGGGAATATGTGTTTCCCAAGAGATAGTGGTTCCTGTAGGTAGCAGTTGGCTCAAGCCCTGAGGATGTTCCCAGGGCTGGGGTAACTCCTCCTTCCAGAATCCAGCTATGGCAGGACTGTTGGGATGGGGATCCAACGTAGGTTGGCATGTTGGGATTCTGGGCAGTCTGAGGGCATGCGGCCCTGAGTTCCCTCAGGTGATCTTCGTTCAAACAGAAGCTCTGGGGATGAGGCACACAGACTGCAGGCTGTCTGCCTGTGTCCCCAGGGGAGTGGCCACATTGGAACTTGAGCCTGTCCAAGTCCACTGACCAGCAGAGGCTACCTCATTCTGCAGTGGGTCTTTGGAAAATTGTGTTGAAAGACAGGTGCCCAAGGTGACTGGGCTGGGGAAGGTGGTGTGCAGGTCTGAGGTTTGCCCGTGTGGGGCTCCTTCCCATTTCTCGAGGTTCACCATGCCCCCTGGCACGGATGCCCCCTTGAAGGTGAGGCGGGAATCCACAGTGGGCTGTATTCCTGTGTGCGTTCCTGGTCTCTTCTCTGATACCCTGGCTGCCCTTCCACTCCCGATGCCCCTGACCTCTCGGGTCTTTGTAGCTGTGTATCAGGTGTCCCCTGGCTGTAGGTACCTGGTTCCTGAGGGCTTCATGTGCACCCACGTCCTCAGGTGTGTCCTGTGGTCCTCAGGTGCCCTTCCTATCAGCTGCTCCTCGGCACGTTGGTCTGCATGTGTCCAGATTTCCATTTTGTGAGGACACCATTTGTTCTGGATTAGGGCCCACCCTAATACCTCATGCTAACTTGATTATTTCTGTAAAGACCCTCCTTCCAAAGGTCGTGTTCTGTGGTCCTTAGGGTTAGGACTTAATATCTTTCTGGGAGGGACACAGGTCAACCTGTAAGTGTCCAAAACTTGCCTTCCCCAATCTTTTCCGTAGGGTAGCGGGTTTTCGCGAAGGCTTCAGCCGCTAGGGAACGATCACGGGTCCTCACCCCGCTCCTAGCAGGTGCCCGCGGTTCGCCCCGCCCCCGGCACGTGCGCCGCCGCGGTCCGCCGGCCGGCAGGGGGCGCGGGAGCCCGTCTGGCGGAGTGTCCGGCCGGAAGTCCCACCCTGCGCCCCGGAAAGAGTCTGAAGAGGCGGCTGCCTGGGAAGCTGCCCGGGCTGACCCTCGCGCTTCCGCTCTCGGACCGCTGGTCCACGGCCTCGCAACCTGTGTCTGCCGCCACGAGTCGGCGTCCTCCGAAGGCCGATGACGGGCGTCGGCGCCCGGCTGGTGCAGGCGGTGGACACCGAGCTCACCGCCGACTCCGTGGAGTGGTGCCCGCTGGACGGCCGCAGGCACCTGCTGGCGTGCGGCACCTACGAGCTGCGGAAGCCGGACGGCGGGCTCGGCGCCCAGAGCCAGGTGCGGGGCCCTCGGCCCAGGGTCGAGCTGCTGCCTCAGGGAGGCGGAGCCGGCCGCACACGTTGAGACCTCTGTGGTCTGCAGCGAGGAAGGCCGAGAGGAGGAAGGCTCGTGTGTAGAATCACCCAGGAGGTGAAGAAGGGACACTGGCCTTTTGGCCAGAACGTAGGTTAGAAACAGTTTAGAGTCTCGAGAGCAGAACGTCCTCTGTATACAGGTGTGGCTCAGCTTTATGGAAGAAATCTATAGTACCGAGAAAATGGGGATTTCTTGGGAATTGTATGTCGCGTCTGGAAGGCACCCGTAAGGATACAAACCGGGACACTTTAAGAGGGAGAAGGGTCACTGGAACAACAGGACTAAGTCAAGACTGCCTCTGGCGAACTGGTTGCCTTGGTTACCCGAGCCATAGCTGGTCCCCGTTGGCCACTTAAGAGGAGCCTTCTTTACTGGGTCCAGGAGAGCTCACTTGCTCTTCAATCCCATGCAAGAAAAGAGACGCTTCTCCAGCTCAGAAAATCGGAGGTTCTGCATCCAGGCAGAGTTCCACTCTGGCAAACCTTTTCATTCCCTGGATCTCTTTTCCCATCCCTTGGGCCCCTCAGTATCTTAGGGTAATCAGAAAATATGTCTGCATTTTTTGTAGAGTGGACTGGACCCTGAAGAACCTCAAGTCCGTCTAGGTCGGCTCTACCTGTACGGTTTCAATGAGGACAACTCCGCTCACCCTCTGGTTGAGGTCCAAAGAAGAGATACTTCTGCAATCCTGGACATGAAATGGTACAACTTTGATAACCCCACTTGGTCTGAGTGTCTGTTTGTCATGAGTATCTAATCACTTAATCAGGGGAAGCCAGTGCCTGATAGCCTTCAACAAGATAGGGAAACATCTGGGCTTTGGGTTTATTTCTTTACTTTCCTCCCCACCTGTTGGCACTTGGAGAGTGCTTTACTTGGGGCTCATTTCCTTTGTTATTTTCCTAGCCCCAGAGTTAGCGTCAGTCTGGGAAGTGATGCAAGCTCTGACTTCATACACTGCAGAATCTTTTGTTTAGGAACAAAATTGTAGGCTCTAACCCGGTTTTGGAGCTGAAATTTAAACGCAGTCATGTGCTGCATGCCGATGTTTCATTCAATGACAGACCGTACATTCAGTGGTCCCATGAGATTATAATGGAGCTGCCCTGTACAGGTATACCTCTTTAAAACCCTTTTATACCATGTCCTTACCATACCTTTTCTGTGTTTAGTGGGTTTAGACATACAAATACTTACTACTGTGTTACAGTTGCTTGCAGTACCCAGTACAGTCACATGCCGTACAGGGTTGTAGCCTAGGAGTAATAGGCTATACTACCTGGCTTTGTGTAAGTACCTGCTATGATGTTCCCAAAACGACAAAGTCGCCTACAGGTGCCTTTCTTAAAACGTATCCCTGTTGTTAAGTGATGCATGACTGTAATAAATTTCTGGGATACATAACGCTCTCCTGTGCTTTGAGCACGTCCTGTGATCTGACGTATGGGTTTTCTCCTTAGGTGCCATGTCCCGGTGGCCGGCCATGTCCTGTTGGGCTTGGCAAATGCCAGTGGATCCATAGAGCTGTTCCGCCTGGTGGGATCTGAGGTTAGTGACAGGGGCCAGGCTCTGGGGTGGTAGGGACTTGAGAGAGTTAGGGAGGGAGGCTATGCTGGTACAGATGTTTTTCCAGAATGATCTCTTTTCAGTGGTGAGCTATACATAAATATTCTAAAGTAGCATGGAGTGCATTTTAAATTGTACTGAGTTCTACACGTAACTCCAAGAGGAGATCATCTCATGTGTCGCCAGCAGAGGGCTGCAGTGACAGGCTGTTCATTCACCTGTCAGTGAGTCTGAAAGTTCTCTAAGGAAAGCCTGGACAAGCATGTCTTGGGTTGATGGTGGGGCTAAGAATAGCAATGAATTTCCCAAGTGAAAATGCTGTTTCCTATGAGGAAAGCATATGATTCCTATATGAATTTTTCAAGTGTCTACAGTGATCCTGTACCATGCACTTGCAAAATGACTTCATCCGATTGTTGGGAGGTGGGGGACAGGTTGTCATGTAGTGGAGTGATGTAAATAGCCCATAGGCCGTGCCCGAACTCTGGGAGGGAGGGACGCACACTAGGTGTAGATGCTGTAAGTGGGACTGGAGCATAGGTCCAGCTGGCCTTTGATTCGTGGCAATTGAGGGCCTTGCTTCTGGCCAGTTCAGAGCAGCCACCCTGTCTTAGAAATGAGGGAAGGAATTGACTAAGGAAGACTATGGGCCCAAGGACCAGGTTTCAAGACAGGAGCACGTGAACCCAAGAAAGGACTGATGCAGCAGCCTGCTGGGAGCCTGTCGATGGAATTAAGCACTGGCCGGGTTGGTTAGGTATTTACCTTTACATAGATCTGAGAAAAGAGAAAAAATGTTTGAATAGCTAGTTGTACCTTCTGGAGTGAAAACCAGAGGAAAGTCCCCATTGTTGCTGTCTCTGGAGATAAGTTGCCAGCATCCCTGGAGGCCCAGGGTGGTGAAGAATGTGCCACAGTGGTCTGGAGCCCGCCCAGGCATCTCGATAGCTCTGGGAGTACAGCCAGCCAGTGGGTGTGAGAGGCAGGGTCTTCTTGCCTCACGGTCGTGTGTGGCGGGGAGTCCTCCTGCAGGTGAGTGAACTCTAGTGTTCTTGGGTCCTTCTCAGTGCACACGGCAGGGGCGAACGTTAGGTGAATGTGTGAATCAGTGACTGATGCACTGTGTTTATGTAGGGAGTGATCGAGGGAACCATGACTTACCTGAACAAGAGGAAAAATCTTCTTGGGGTTCTAGGGCTGTTTCCCTTTATCCCCCCCTCCCCCCAAGACAGGGTCTTGCTGTGTTGTCCAGGCTGCTCTCAAACTCCTGGCCTCAAGTGATCCTCCTGCCTCAGCCTCCCCGAGTGCTGGGATTATAGGCCAGAGCCACCTCACCCGGCTTAGGGCTATTTCCTTTTGACAGAGTTCCTTTCTTTCCAGTAGGAGAGCAGGTTCGAACTGCAGCCATTATCCAGCTTGGCCCTGGAGGAGCATTGTCTGGCTTTGTCCCTGGATTGGTCCACTGGGAAAACTGGAAGGTGAGGGCCAGGCTTGGTCAGGCACCCTGAGTCTTTCTTCTGAGGATTGATTCCTGTTTTCATGCTGTAGAGCAGGGACCACTTGACTGCTTCTCACCTCCTGCTGTGCGCCTCCCATCTCCGTTTCCTAAATTTCATGGAAGACAATTTTCCGGGAGGAGGGCGGGGCGGGAGGGGAGGAGCAGTACTCTAGAGCCCAGTCCTTGAACCAGGGTTGGGGACTGCAGCTATAGAGAATTAAAGCCACCTTCTGTTAGCCTTTTTTTTTTTTTTTTTTTGAGACAGAGTCTCACTGTGTTGCCCGGGCTAGAGTGCCGTGGCGTCAGCCTAGCTCACAGCAACCTCAAACTCCTGGGCTCAAGCGATCCTCCTGCCTCAGCCTCCCAAGTAGCTGGGACTACAGGCATGCGCCACCATGCCCGGCTAATTTTTTTCTATATATTTTTAGTTGTCTAATTAATTTCTTTCTATTTTTAGTAGAGACGGGGTCTCACTCTTGCTCAGGCTGGTTTCGAACTCCTGAGCTCAAACAATCCGCCCGCCTCGGCCTCCCAGAGAGCTAGGTTTACAGGCGTGAGCCACCGCGCCCGGCCTCTCTCACTGTGATTTATATATGAGTGGCTGGGGCTCCACAGTGAGAGCTGTTGCCCAGTGCTGCCTCTGTCCCATCTTTTGTCTGCCCAGCCAGCCTGCTGCTGTACTACCTGTTGGAGCAGACTGAGGGAGGGTGCTGGGTGGCCAGGATAGCCCTCCTCCCTTTGGGGAATCATCTTGTCCATGGAGAGCCACCAAGGGGAAACAAGCCAGGCTATGTCGCTGGGGTCTTCCCTGTCTTGCGGTCCAACCAGCCATCCTGCACAGAGGCTTTGCTTCCTGGGAGCAGGAAGTCTGGCCATTCCAACTCTGACCTGTCAGGCCTAGGTCAACCTGGCCCTGTCTTGGCCCTGCAGGTTCCTGCCACGCTTTTCCCTCTTCCAGCTTCTCTGCCACATGCCAGGATGCCGTATGTGTTCTCATTGCTGCCCTGGCTAGGCATAGCCCTCTGGTGGCCTTTAGTCTGTAAGCAGAGTTTCCAGTAGCTTCTCTCTCTCTC